CTCCCAGAAGCAGTATGCCGATCGACAGCGACGAGATCACTCAGTAGCAGTCGGAGATCAGGTGCTCCTTGACACCCGCAACTTGAACCTGTCTCACCTCCCATCCAAACTCCGGCCTCGCTTCTGTGGTCCTTTTCTCGTTGAGGCACAGGTGTCACCAGTTACATTCCGCTTGCGCTTACCAGATACGTGGAAGCTTCACAACGCTTTCCATGTGCAGCTACTAAAACCCTACAAGGACCCCAACCAACAGTTCCAGGGACGGCAGCTACCGCCACCTCCACCTGTTCTTGTGCAGGATGAACCCAAGTACGAGATTGAGCGCGTTCTCACTCATCGGCGCCGCGGCGGCACGACCCTCGAGTTCCTGATACGCTAGAAGGGATACGACCCCACTGAGGACAGTTGGGTTGCAGAAGCTGATATGGGCAATGCACGCCGTGCTCTCAAGGACTATCTTGTCAAGCAGGGTGTATCTCACACCACCCAGCTTTGAGGGGGGGATGTGTTAGAGTATGTCGGCTTATGCTAGCCATGCGTGCTTGCTTCTATTTCCTTACTCTATTCCTAGCTTAGGTTTATTTTCTACATGCATGAATTGCTTGAATTCCTAGGTTCGTTGCTTTACTATAATTATTATAGTTACTGGCACCGAACCAGGTTACGTGTACCGAACTCAAGCTATTCGGATGCCACCGAATTGCTTTCTACTGAGTTCGGGAAGGTTCTGTTCAGGACGCTTCGCGGCCCTCGGAACATTCGCGTAACACCTGGGTTACCTGCCTTGTGTCAAGCCTATATATAGCCTCGTGTTGTACCCAGGTGATCATTCAATTCAAATCATCTTTTCTGAGCTCTATCCTAGATCCTCACAAGCACCTCCAGAATCTCCAGCTCCAACGCCTCCAGCAGCTCCAGAACCTCCAGCTCCAACACCTCCAGCTCCAGCGCCTCCAACTCCAGTGCCTCCAGCTCTAAAGCCCGCAGCAATACAAGCTCCGGCAGCTCCAACACCTCCAGGACGAGCACCAGCAGCTCCAGCGCCTCCAGCTGCTCCAGAACCTCCAACTCTAGGGCCTCCAGTAGTAGCACCCCCAAAACCGGCACCTCCAGCTCCAGAGTCTCCTACTCCAGGGTCGACAGGACCAGCTCCAAGGCCTCCAGCTCTAGTGCCTCCAGCAGCAGCAACCCCAGAACCGGCACCTCTTTCTCCAGGGTCTCCAACTCCAGGGTCGACAGCACCAGCTCCAGGGCAACCAGCTCCAGTGCCCCCAGCAGCAGCACCCCCAAAACCGGCACCTCCAGCTCCATGGTCTCCAGCTCCAACGCCTCCAGCTCCAGTGCCTCCAGCTCCGGCACCTCCCACAGTAGTGCCTCCAGCTCCAGTAGTGTGAATCCGAAGGCGGGTGCGCGAAGCAAGCCACTCGCGCTGCTGCTGCGGCGAGAGAGGTGACCGCTGCGACGCGGCACTAAGAGGACCTCTAGCAGACTCAGCACCCCTAGGCTCAGCACCAATAGACTCCATACCCCCGGGGCCAGCACCTCCAGCTCCAAGGTTTCGAACTCCAACGCGTGGGTTTCTAGGTCCAGTGCCTCCAGTACCACGGACCCCGGCAGCTCCAGGACGAGCACCTCCAGGATCCTCAGCGCCAGCAGTACCAGCACCTTCAACTCCAGCAGCACCACCCGTCCTGGCAGCTCCAGTACCTCGAGTACGAGCACCTCCAGAACCAAAAACATTAGCACTCCCAGCGCCTCCACGACGAGCAGCTCCAGCAGCTCCAACTGCAGCACCTCGAGCTGCAGTACCTCCAGCAGCAGGACCTCCAGCTCCAGCAGCACAACTCCTCAGGCGGGTACGCCATGCAAGCCACTCTCGTAGCTGCTGTGGTGAGAGAGGCCCCCGTCGTGAAAAGAGACCCCCAGACTCAGCACCCCCCGACCCGACACCCTCCGGCTCAGCACCCGCAAGCTCCGCACTCGTAGGCTCAGCACCCCCAGGTTCCGCACCCCCCAGCACCTTACGCACAGGCTCAGCACCCCCAGACGCAGTACCTCGAGCAGTACCACCCACAGCAGCACCTGAATCGCTAGTGACCTCTACAGGCTCAGCCAAGGGGAGTGGGTCTACCTGAGACACACCTGAAGGATCAGGACCCTGAGGGGGGAGGGGGTCTACTGGAGGGGGACCTGGATCAAGGAAAAGCGGCGGGGGAGGGAGAGGGGCAGTGCAGTAGGGGAAGAGATGGTAGAAAGGAACCGACTCGTCAAAGGGGACGTCCTGAGAGGGGAAGACACGGCGCGAGGTGGGGTGGTAAAACTGCCAGCCTGGCGCGTCAGGGACAAAGCCAAGGAAGACACAGAGAATGGTGCGGGAGGAGAGCTTGTCCGCGGACGTATCGCGGACAAGGGCACGAGCACCCCAGACTCGGAAACGCAACGCATCACCAACCTCTCTCGTCCAACGCAGTGTGGGCGAGATCTCCGGCAAGGAGACACGGGGCCAGAGGTTGAGTTCCTGCGCGGCGTACCGGACCGCAAACGGCCACAGAAAATGGGGAGCCACCGCATGGATCAAGGAGGTACGCGCGATCTCCATGACCAAGCCAATGCGGCACTCAGCAACCCCATTTTGCTGCTCAAAAAACTGCTCGATGCCCTCCTGACAGAAGGCCCGCAAGAGGTCGGAGGTGAACTCACCACCTCTGTTGGAGTGCAGACGTAGGACAGAAAGGTCCTGGCGGAACCTCCGGCGGAGCTGAAGACAAACTGCTCGGATCCAAGGGATCAGGACAGCAGGGACCTCACCCTTGGTGCGCAATAGGAAGACCGTGGTGTAACGCGAGTAGTCGTCGACAACCAGCAGAGAGTACCACTTACCGCCCTGTCCACGAACGCGGGCTGGGCCCCACATGTCCAGCTGGAGGGGTCTGCAGAGGAGCCTCTGTCGGGGGAAACGAGGAGGAGTGAGGAGCGGCGCGCTGCCGCCCCTCGACACAAGGAAGGCAGGGCGGCGCAGGGGAGGCAGTGAGGGGAGGGAGAGACCTGGGAAGACTAGACATTAGGAGGCGACGGTGCATGCCACGGAGACGTGGCAAGGAGGGGTGACCCAGGCGGTGGTGCCAGAGAAGAGTCTGGTGCGACATGGAGCGACACGAACAAGGGGAGGCTACCTGACCTGACGCAGACACCTGACTAGTAGCAGCTACCTGAGGTGACGCAGTAGTCAGTATGTAAAGACTCGACCCTGGCCGACGGGTGAACGTGGCCAGGTGGCGTCTGGGAGCACATACAGATCGTCACACGCTGTCCTCCAGGTGTAAAGGTATCACCCCATGCATCCTGGAGGACTGAATTGCTCACCAGGTTCGTAGAGAACGAGGGGAGGTGAAGACCTGACAGTGCGCCAGACGGAACCGCCGGGCACAGAAGCACAGTGGAGAACCGTGCAAGAACTGGGCCCCCTGAGGGGTCACCCAAGGACACTGCAACAGGTGCAGGGAGTGGCGTGAGTGCGGTACTGTCGCGAAAGAAACGGCGGGAAGCGCCTGAGTCAAGCGTGAAGGTGTGCAAGGCCTCAGCAGGCGCAGTACCTGGGAGAGCAGACTCGCTAGCACCTACGGCAGCAGTCTCACTTGCACCTAGAGCAGCAACCTCTATACCAGGGTCGTACTGCACACACATGTGACAGTCAACCTCAGCACCACCAGGCAAAGCATACATAGCAGTAAGGATGGCGTCATAGTCTAAAGCAAAGACATCAATGCCCGACCTAAGAAGCTCAAGCCAGTGGGGGATCTGAGCCTCGTCGCCAAACTCTGAGTGCCAAGCGTCACTCAAATAGGCGAAGCAGCGGGACTGTGCGTGACCAGGTGTCCCACAGGTCTGACCAGCTCGATGACCTGTGCGAATGACGTACGGGCAGCGACCAGGACTCGGAGACGTCCCACGCTGGTAAAGCCACTCACGCAGCTGCTGGGACGTACGAGTCGGACGCCGCCGTAGCTGCATCTGGCCACCGCCAGAAACTCCGCACCAAACAGCGCCACAGTGACTGCTACTACGGCCGCCACCACTCCCACTGCTGCCACCACCGCCGTCACCACTCCCACCGCTACTACAAAGTGAAGTCATGGCGGGCAAGCTAGGAGGAGCGTGACCTCTAGGGCAGTACGGAGTGAAGGCAGTAGCACGAGGAGTAGCAGCAGCAGTAAGAGCAGCAGAGCGGCTCGGTGAAGCTAGGCTGCATCGCCTCCAGCACTCCTAGCAGCACCTCCACCAGCAGCAGCAGTAGCACGAGCAGCAGGGCGGATCGGGCCGGGTAGGGTGGCTCGGACAGCAGGGCGCACGCTGTGCAGGGCAGCAGGGCGCGACGCGCAGGCTGCAGCAAAGCGCGACGCGCGGGGCAGCAGCGCGCGACCTGCGGGCTACCGTAGGGCGTGACGCGCGGGGCAGCAGGGCACGACGCGTGGGCTGCAGCAGAGCGCGACGCGCGGGGCAGCAGCGCGTGTTAACAAACGAACGTAATCTAGGCGACGGGTGTAACTAGTAGGCCTAGGCTTAGTAGCCTGGGCCAAGCGGGAGTCGAGCGAGTTTGTGCTAAGGAGAATTGAAAATGGTTGGAGGTTCACTATAGCACACGAGTACATATAGCAACCTAACAAAGGTGAAAGAGGTGCACCACCATACAAGGGAATTACACAACAGCTACACTACATGCAGATCATACTAAATATATATAAATCTATTGTGACACACCCCCTATCTGCCTGAAATGCATAACCATGTGCAGAGCCCCCCTTGAAGGGGTACACCTGTAAAACCCCATTACAGGGTATGGGAACACCAGCAAGGGCCCCCCTCTAAAGCGGACAAGCAGCAACCACCAAGCAGCATCTGAACCACCGCGGTGGAACAGGTGCCTGGCTGCGGTTGAACGCCCCGCAGCTGGTGCACGGTGTGCAAGGAGCACGGGTACGGGTAGCGGGTTCGGGTAGCAACTAGGTGCTGTACGGGACGGGCCGCACGGGGGTGACGAGCAGCACGAGACCGGGCAGCACAGACCGGGTGGGGCACGAGCGAGAACTGACAGCACGGGTGGGGGCACCAACGGGTACGGACAGCACGGGTAGGGCACAAACGGGCAGAGCGTGGCAGCACGGGCAGAACAGGGCAACACGGGCAGAACGGGGCAGGACACGGGCTGAACGGGCCAACACGGGCAGAACGGGGCAGGACACGGGCTGAACGGGGCAACACGGGCAGAACAGGGCAAAACACGGGCTGAACGGGGCAGACACGGGCTGAACGGGGCAACACGGGCAGAACAGGGCATAACACAGGCTGAACAGGCAAAACACGGGCTGAACGGGGCAACACGGGCAGAACGGGGCAAAACGGGCTGAACGGGGCAACACGGGCAGAACGGGGCAGGACACGGGCTGAACGGGGCAAGACACGGGCTGAACGGGGAAACACGGGCAGAACGGGGCAACACGGGCAGAGCGGGGCAGGACACGGGCTGAACGGGGCAACACTGGCAGCAGAACGGGGCAGGACACGGGCTGAATGGGGCAACACGGGCAGAACGGGGCAGGACACGGGCTGAACGGGGCAACACAAGCAGAACAGGGCAAAACACGGGCTGAACGGGGCAGGACACGGGCTGAACGGGGCAACACGGGGACAACGGGGCTGCACAAGAAGAACGGGGCAGGACAAGGGATGAACGGGGCAATACGGCACGGGAACGGGCACAACACAGGCAGAACGGGGCAGCACGGGGAGAGCGGGGCAGCACGGGAACACGAGGGGCAGCACGGGAACACGGCGGTAAGCACGGGAACACGGGGGGGCAGCACGGAAACACGGGGGGCAGCACGGGAACACGGGGGGCAGCACGGGAACACGGGGGGCACCGGGTACGGATAGCACGGGTGAGACTGGCGGGGCACAGCCGGGTACGGACACCAAGGGCACGTGGAACACGAGCGGACAGCACGGGCATGGGCACAGGGCAAGGGATGAGAGGAGGAGGAGGCGGATGATGCTGCAGTTGAAATTTCACCACCCACACCCCTTGAACCTCCCCCCCCACAGCAGCAGCAGCGGCGGAGAGAGAGAGGGGGAGGTGTGGCGGCAGTAGCTGCAGATGGATTACCCACCCCCTCAACCTCCCCCTTATATGAGCCGCCAACCCTGCCACTCCCCCTCCCCCAGCCGTCCCCTTCGGGCCAGCACCACACCTCCTCCCCTTCCCGCTGGATACGGAGCCGGAGATGGGGGTGGGGTGGCAGTTGTCGGTGGGGGGGGGGCGGGATCTGGGGCAGAACGGCGGTCCGGGTGCAGGTACGGGGTTCGGACGGGTCTCGCGGACGGGGGCACGGACGTCGGCGTGATGCGGATGGCGTACGAGCGACGGGCGGGGTGCGGGGTGCGGGTGGCACACGGGCGGCGGGCGGGGTGCAGGTGGCGTACGGGCGACGTGCGGGGTGCGGGGTGAGGGTCGCGGACGATTTGGCGCGTGCAATGGCGTAGCAGCAGCTTCTCCCGCCACTCCCACCACTCTCGCCACCCTCACCACTCCCTTCACAGCAGTTGCGAAGTCGACGGGAGGGCGGGCGGGGACCTGGCGACGGGCAGCGGAGTGCGTACGGGTGGCGGGGATCTGGCAACGGGTGGAAGTGCGACGGGACGGGCGACGGGCTGCAGCAGCGGAAGTCGCGCGAGTGGTGGGCTGCAGTAGCGGGTAGTGTGCGGGGTCAACGGGGGCGCAAACGACGGCGCAAAGCAGCGGGTGGACGATCGCTGTCACTCCCGTCGCGACCGTAGCTGTCAGAACTTTATAGCTGATGCATGTTATGTAGGCTACAGTGGGGTAGCCATTAAGGGGTACAACCCAATTAGGGTTAGTACTTGTACTGTTTTCATTCGTAGTTCATTCATTCACGCTACCTTTCTAACATGGTATCGAGCAGGCTCCCTCGTGGGAACTGTTCCTAGGGCCCACCAACCTCGATTTGTTTTTCCTGACCGGGGCGCGCTCAGCCCTAGCTCGAGTCGCGCTCCCTTCTCTCGGCCCTTTGTGGCCTCGTCGCGTCGCCCTAGAGCCACGTCGCGCCGCGCTCACGACCCCGTCGAGCCGCCCTCGCGGCCTCGTCGCGCCACCTTAGCGGCCTCGTCACGCCGCCCTCGCGGCCTCTTCGCGCCGCCCTCGCGGCCTCGTCGCCCCACCCCCGCGGCCCTGGCGCCGCCCTGTGCGGCCCCCGCTACTTACCTACGCGGCCCCCGCCACCTACCTGGACGGCCCCGCCACTACCCACGCGGCCCCCACCACCTACCTGGACGGCCCCGCCACCTACCTACGCGGGCCCCGCCACCTACCTACGCGGGCCCCGCCACCTACCTGGACGGCCCCGCCACTACCTACGCGGCCCCCGCCACCTATCTGGACGGCCCCGCCACTACCTACGCGGCCCCCGCCAACTACCTGGACGGCCCCGCCACCTACCTACGCGGCCCCCGCCACCTACCTGGACGGCCCCGCCACTACCTGCGCGGCCCCCCACCACTTACCTGACGGCCCCGCCACTACCTGCGCGGCCCCGTCACCTACCTGCGCGGCCCCCGCCACCTACCTGGACGGCCCCGCCACTACCTGCGCGGCCCCCCACCACTTACCTGACGGCCCCACCACTACCTGCGCGGCCCCCCACCACTTACCTGACGGCCCCGCCACTACCTGCGCGGCCCCGTCACCTACCTGCGCGGCCCCCGCCACCTACCTGGCGGCCCCGCCACTACCTGACGGCCCCGCCCCCGCTCTTACCTGCGGCCCCGCCGAGCCGCTCGGCAGCGGAGCCGCCCTGCAGCCGAGCAGCCGAGCCGCCGAGCCGCCCAGCCGCCCAGCAACCGAGCCGCCCAGCCGCCCAACAGCCGAGCCGCCCAGCAGCCGAGCCGCCGAGCCGCCCAGCAGCCGAGCCGCCGAGCCGCACAGCAGCCGAACCGCCGCGCCGCCGGGCCGCCCACTACCCGAGCCGCCGAGCCGCCCAGCTGCCGAGCCGCCGAGCCGCCGAGTCGCCCTGCAGCCGAGCCGCCCGAGCCGCCCGAGCTGCCCTGTCCGGTAAGAGCAGCGCCTTTTTCACAGCACTACCCTCACCCCACTGTCTGCGCTGCTAGTCTACTGCTGTCATGGCTACCCCCAGTGTCCTCGCTTTTGATGCTGAGGGTCGAGCCATTGACTTTGACGTGTGGGTAGACGACCTACTGCTTTTCCTACAGTGCGACAGAGCTGACGGCCTCTCTCTCTTTGACCTCACTTCTGGTGCCTCTCCCGCCCCTGCTGCTACTGAGGATGCCATTGTTCGCTCACAGTGGGCCACGCGCGATGCTGCTGCACGTCTTGCTGTGCGTCGCCACCTGCCTACCTCTGAGCGTGCGCACTTTAGCCAGTACAAGAGTGCTCAGACCTTGTACGACACTGTAGTTGCACGCTACTCCTCCCCTGCCACTGCTGCACTGAGCCGCCTCATGCTACCGTACCTCTTTCCTGACCTTGCTGCCTTTGCCACAGTCGCTGGCCTCATTATACACCTCCGCACTAGTGACACTCGCTACCGCGCTGCGCTTCCTGCTGACTTCTGCGCCAAGAACCCACCCCCCATGTGCATCACCCTCTACTACATAGTCACCCGCCTCCCTGACTCCCTTTGCGTAGTCAGGGACCACTTCCTCTCAGTTTGCCCCACCACTCTCACTGTTGACCTCCTCGAGAAGGGCCCTCCTAGCAGCAAAAAAGAGCATTCTAGCTGTAGGAGCCTGTCGTGGAGACCCTCGCACCCCCATCTTGGAGGGGTGTTCCCCCTCCCCTCTTTTGCCCTCCGTTGCCTCTGCTGCTGCGGCCGAACTCGTTGGTTTGGAGTCGGTCGGTGCGGCGTCTACCCCTAGTGGGAGACGTCGCTCTGGCAGAGGCAAGGGGGGCGGGGGCGCTGGAGGAGCTGGCGGGCGCGGTGGAGGCGGCGGTGGAGGCAGCGGAGGGGGTGGGGGTGGTGGTGGGAGTGGTGGCGGGGGCGGAGGTGTCAGTGGCGGCAAAGGAGGCGGAGGCGGCGGCGGCGGCGGCGGTGGGAGTGGAGGTAGTGGAGGTGGCGGAGGTGGTGGAGGCGGTGGTGGAGGAGGAGGAGGAGAAGGAGGAGGTCGTGGCTCGTCGCAGAGGACTGACTCCAGTGGTGGTCAGCGCCAGCACCAGCAGCGTAGTCGAGAGACCCCCTCCCCTCAGCTGCTCCGTGAGTGGTACGCTGCACGCCAGCGGGGTGGGGGTACTGGTCCGTGCACCTACGTCCCGCGCACTGGCGACCGTGCGGGTGAGGAGTGTGGGGGTGCGCACCCCACCCAGCGCTGCTTTGGCCGCATGACTGACGCTTGGCGTCGCCAGTTCCCTGACGCCACTGAGATCCCTCGCTGGGGCGAGCTGTCTAGAGCAGGGGTAGCTGTCTTTGACCTTGACTTTGATGCTATTCTTGCTGCCATGTATGCTGTGACTATTAGTGATGAGGGTGAATGTTACCGGTGTTTCCCGCCCGACCTGGGCATTGGGACTGCTGCTCTAGGTACTGGTGAGGCTGCTACTCTAGGTGCTAGTGAGACTGCTGCTCTAGGTGCCAGTGACTCTGCTTCTTCAGGTGCTGGTGAGTCTGCTCTCTCAGGTACCGCGTCGGCTCCGGCCTCCCACACCTTCGCACTTGACTCGGGGGCGTCTCGCTCCTTCTTTCGAGACTGCTCCACACTCACGCCGCTTAGTCGGCCAGTTGCGGTCTCCCTGGCAGACCCCTCTGGGGGTCCTGTCCTTGCTCACTTCTCCACTGTCCTCCCGTGTCCGGCGGCCCCCTCTGGCACCCTGTCTGGCCCCCTCTGGTCCCCTCGTTCTCTACGAACTTGGTGAGTGGTGCTGCCCTATAGGATGCGGGGGTTCACCAGTTCACTCCTGCACGTCAGCGCGTGACCCACTGCACGGACGAGCGAACAGGCCGACACCTGGCCACATTTACACGTCGGCCGGGGTCGAGCCTGTACACACTGACCACTGCGTCTCCTCCAGTCCTTGCGTCTGGTCAGGTAGCTGCGTCGGGTCAGGTGTTCGCTGCAGCGTCCAGGTCTGGTCCTGAGTCTGCCCCCTGCTCGTGTCGCCGCCTGTCTCACGAGACTCTCCTCTGGCACCACCGCCTTGGTCACCCCTCCTTGCTTCATCTTCGAAGCATGGCCTCCCGTGTCCTTGTCTCTGGTCTTCCCCGGTCCCTCCCTCCCCTTCCTCCGGAACCTGGCCCTACCTGCATCCCCTGTGTCGAGGGACGGCAGAGGGCTACCCCCCACTCCTCCCACTTTCCTCCGACAGAGGCTCCGCTGCAGACGCTTCACATGGACGTGTGGGGCCCAGCCCGCGTCCGTGGACAGGTTCACGAGCGCTACTTCTTGCTGGTGATTGATGACTACTCGCGTTACACCACAGTCTTCCCCTTGCGCAGCAAGGGTGAGGTCACTGAGTGGTACGCTGCACGCCAGCGAGGTGGGGGTACTGGTCCGTGCACCTACGTCCTGCGCACTGGCGACCGTGCGGGCGAGGAGTGTGGGGGTCTGCACCCCACCCAGCGCTGCTTTGGCCGCCTGACCGACGCTTGGCGTCACCAGTTCCCTGGGTCCACTGAGATCCCTCGCTGGGGCGAGGTGTCTAGGGCAGGGGTAGCTATCTTTGACCTTGACTTTGATGCTATCCTTCGTGCCATGTATGCTGTGACAATTAATGACGAGGGTGAGTGTTACCGGTGTTTCCCGCCCGACCCGGGCATTGGGACTGCTGCTCTAGGTACAGGTGAGGCTGCTGCTCCAGGTGCTGGTGAGGATGCTGCTGTAGGTGCCACTGAGTCTGCTTCCTCAGGTGCTGGTGAGTCTGCTCTCTCAGGTACCGAGCCGGCTCCGGTCTCCGACACCTTCACCCTTGACTCAGGTGCTTCTCGC